AGCACATATTAAATTATTTTTCTTTTGTTTTATCTTTTTAGAAATAGAAAGATCTACATTCTACAATTGTTTTATAACTTTTACTTAGAACTTTACATATTCTAAACTCAATCGACACACGCGTAAAAATTTTACTACTATTGATCATACGTCAAAAGTGCTTTTATCACATGAAAGCTATGAAACTATTATTAACTAAATGAAACAAATAATGTAATTGTAAAATGGTATAATTTTTCCATTTAAACATAAAAAAGCTGCCGACCAAACCTTCGTAGAATCTTTAAATCTCTTTCCTGGAAAATTGTCATTTTGTAGATGTGACCTCATTACACCAAAAGTGCGGTTAAGATGAGATTTTTTCTTTGTTTCCTTTAATATGTGCGTAATATATTTGGTAAATTATTTAGAGATAAGATTGAGATTTTGCATTCAGCTGAGTCCTGCACAATACACTCCGCCAATTAGCTGGAAGTGACACTTTGGTAAATGTGTGTACATACACGTAATACTGCATGCTTACTACCGCCACTTTACAGGAAAGTGTGTTATTATAAATTGCCTATGTGATAATCACTGTAATATAAATATGTGATTTATTACTACAGTATTAAAGTAGTAATAACTTCTGTAATTGAAAAAATAGTTACAGATATTAACTCACATACTTACAACTCATTTATACGTCCCACTTCTGGACACGGACTTCCTCTCAGGCGAGAGTTTAGGTCCTAGTCCGCCACGCTGGCCTGCGGACCACACACGTTGTCCAAGGCTTGTGAACCTTCTTCGACATACAGGTTTCATCACGGTGTCATTTTTTTTTTTCACCAAAAAGCTCATGGTATATTTCGAATTAAATTGCGAACATAAATTCCGAGAAACTCAGAGGCTCGGATTCGAATCCACGGCGTCTACTTAAGAGGCGGGAGGTCAAACCATTAGGCTACCACGTCACATACTTATTACAAGAAAATATTAATAATGATAGACCTACTGCTATCATTACTAACAGTAATACGATATACGTACAGGTGTATTATGACTGCTGCTACCTGTGATATGGCTCTACTACATACCAACTGGCCACCATGATTCAATCGACAAACGTGACAAGAGGCATATAGGTGACTCGGAATTAGTGGAGGCGAAGCTGCAGAACCACGAACGCGGTGTAATGTTGCCTGCTTATCGGTATTCTACAGGATATATCAAGGAGAGTGTGCGATGGAATTACACGAGTGAATACCGCCTTGCCATTTCCATCACCAATGGACTAGACGTAAGTTTGGTTTCCACCCCTATCTTGTGGATATTCCAAAGATTCGCACGAAGCGTTACGCTTCCACATTTGTATGGCGAACGGCTATAGAGTGGAATTGCCTACCTGTAAACTTGTTCTCTGAACACTATAACTTGGGACTTTTTAAGGCGAGAGTGAACAGGCATTGTTTAGGTGTATGCACACTTCAAAGTCGTACATTTACAGAAAAGTCAAAAACTGAGCATAGCAATTTACATCAAAGCATCGAAGAAGTTCGCTGTCACGTGTTGACCAAATAGCCTCAAGGGGTCATTTACAACATGCAACTCTTTATTTCTATCATGCAACTTCCTATTCTGTCTTAAGTTTGGTTTCTAGCCTTATACTAAATAACATATAATAATAATACCTTGGCATTAAAAAGTGTTAAGCATTCTTTTTTATTAGTGTGGCCAAGACGGCTGTTCTAATTTCAACTCAAAATGGTAAAAATTAATTTACAGACTTTCACGCAAGTTTTTTAAATACACATTTATTTATTACGACATTTTAAATTCAGTATTACAGTATTCACAATAGATAAATTAAAATGTTTAAATAAATCTGTGAAAAGGTGCATGTACGACAATGCATTTTACTAGAGAATATTAATAACCAATATCTAATTAACGATACCATCAGCACTAACTTAAAACCAAATTTAAAGAAATTTTTATAGCTGGGTATCAAGAACCCTGTCCATTTTTAAGTTAGATTCTAAATTGAAAATAAGATCCATTTCAAGACCGACTACAAAAACATACAGAAAGAAAATAAAGTGCAAAAGGTTTTATATACATACAGATGAAAAATAAATTGTAGCAGTTTTTGTGTAGGTATATGTAAGGCTTGAGAAAATTGACATCAATTTATTCAAAAATTCAAAATTCAAAATTCAAAATAATCTTTAATTCATAGGTAAGCATTATTACACTTGAAATTGTCACAATGGTTAAACTCTACCGCTCATTCGTAAGGCAGATTCCCCTGAGAAGAATGAGCAAGAAACTCTAGAGGTTGCTCTTTGTAAATAACATTTACAATATTTTTTCAAAACAGTAACTTTTTTTTAATGAAATCAAGCAATAATAATAATAATGTGCTAAACAAGCAAACACGCTGTAATTAGTAGTAGTAGAGCGCCTTTTGAAAGAGTTCGTCCAGGGAAGTAGTGCCGCCTTACTTTTTACCGCCGCCAAGCAATAATGTGAACATTGTTGCATTCCGATTTTAAAAGGTAAGGGTGCTGGTGAAATCACAAGCATATGAGACTTGTCAACTTATGTCTCAGGGTGACGGGCGCGGTGGCAGTGCCCCTTAGATCTTTGCGTTTTAAGCTCTGGGTGGCACTGCAACTACTGTGGACAGGCGTGTCGCTTACCACTAAGCCCACGACTAGTTCGTCCCGTCACTAGGTATAATAAAAAAACACCAATTACCAAACTAGATCTCAAACTAGGTCTCAAACTAGATAATTCCCTGTACTATTAGTACCAGAGCAACGGAATACACTCTGGGGTACTGCCCAGATCACCCAGATCTGAACAGATTTAGAAAATTTATTTTTTTTATTTCGAATTGGTCTTACTGGGAATCAAACCCAGGACCTCTACATCCGACGCCCACAGTACAAGCCGTTGGGCTACCGACCGAAGTCGTAAAACAATAATAACGCAAATGCAGTTGTCATGTAAAAATTTAATTGACTGAAACCGAAAAGCAAACATTTAAGATAATTGAAATGTACATTAATGAGTCAACAGATTTAGTAATTTCTTTTTTAAAACTCCGGAAATAAAAATTTGAGACTGGAAATTAAATTCTGCGGCTTACAGAAGCGACTTCACTTTATAAGGTTTATTAATTTCTTTAGAAAGCAAATATGTACATTTACGTGTGAAATATTCCATTTAACTTTAAGTATCAAAGTCGATGTTATGTTGTGTCGATGTTAAATATCTAATTTCTTGTAATAAATTTGTATGTATCTATGTGCAAATTTATGATTTGATTTTGATTTTAGAAATACAAACGAAAAATGTCATTTAATGTCATTGAATGTTTGAAAACTATTCTGCCAAATCATTACGATGCCAACTGCGCTCTGATTGGCCAGCCCGAATTCAAAACAATTGACGGGTATCGTCAATTGTTTCACTTCAAATCGACCAGCTTAACTTGAGCTTTGTTTACTATAATGGAAGAAAATTGAAAAATTACAATTTAATTACCGATGAAATGTGATTCCGTTTGTTTTGTAATTAGATTGTTAGAGATATTATCTTTATTACACTAAATACAGAATATTTTTGGAATATACGGAGACGTATACACAGGTCTGTTGTTAGCGCTATACTATTTCAGCTTTCTAATTTGTGATTTTGGCGCAAACGAGAGTTGATATTTGAAAGTGATAGGTCCATTTGCCCGATAAGTCGCCAGGGTAGGAGAGCCCTTATTTCGTCTCTATCTCTGGTTATATATTAGATGTCTCACACGTACTCTTACACCGAAAAGCAAAGAGATCATCTTACTAACTCTTGCGTGCATCTCGATCTTGAGCTGCCTGCGTCACAAATTGTTACGCCGTTGTTAACGTTACAGAGTCTGTATCGATGTAGGTATCCTTTTAGCAGTTATTTATACAATAAAATACGATACAGACCGTTACGGGCGTAATTTAAAAAAATGCTAGATCGGAGATTGTTTTTCTCACATTTTAAGTAGAATATTATAAGATGATTACCTCCTACCCTTTTGGTTTAGAAAACATAATTACGTGGAAAAATATTTTGTTCTTTTGCAAGTTTGAAATGATTGTTACTAGCTCTTAATAGATAGGTCACGGAGAAAACATGGGTAGTCTTTATGTACATACTTCTTTGTTTATATTTTGAATTGTAGTAGCCTTATTATGTTATTTATTAGACAATAAGGTAAAATATGAAGATAAGGTACAATAAAAGCTTAAATACTGGAAAGTAAAACCAGAATAAAATTATTTTGAAGTGTTATTTAATGGTAATGGTATGAGGGATAACTGACAACCGCTCCTGTGCAAAAATATCAGTGAGATTCTAAATATTTTCTTACTTTAGAAGTAAAACATTTTTTTATAATATCAAGTGACGGGACGAACAAGTCGTGCGCCTGGTGTAAACAACACGCCTGTCCATAACAGTTACAGTGAAACTAAGAATTTTAATTCGCAAAGATCTGAGGGGAACTGAAACTGAGCCTGTTACTTTGGAACATTAATTGACAAGTCCCATGTGCCTGTATTTCACCAGCCTCTTATCTTTCAAAACCGGAACGCAGTAATGAGATCATTACTGCTTGACGGCAGAAATAGATAAGGTGGCAGTAATTCCCTGGATGAACTCTTTCACTAGGAGCTCTACTGCTACTAAATCTTCTTTGCAATGGCCTACAAAATAATAAAAATAAAGAGTAAGTACACGCTACCATTTCTCTTAAACTAACTGAGTACAGGTAGTTCAAGCATATCGCTAACGACAAGCTAGGCGGCAGCGGCGGTAGCGCGTGACGTAAGCAGAGCAGCCTACAGTCTGCCGGGCTAGATAGTTATTGCGCTCAACGATAGCAAAAGTGTCTGCCGACCCTGGCGCCCCCCTACGCCAGTGGGGGGGCGCACTTCCAGCTCCCTTCACCTTCGCGCCGCGCCGCGCACGACCAATGACCGCCCGCCCCGAGCCGGCGAAAGGTTTTACATACAAGTGGAATTTGCACTAACAAAGTGCCATAAGTCAAAATATAGGGTAGTCGGGCAGTTCACTCGACGGTTGTGCAGTCGCCGGCTCACGCGGGATCCGACTTTAATAAATACGTTTTTCGGTGTTGGATTAAACGCGTTCAAATATAACCGTGCCGGGCAAATGACCGCGACAGTGCTAGCTCAATATTCATCGGATTGTTAGATTGCAGAAACTTACTTGTGTGTTACCATGGGGTGCAGTGCAAGATACTGTTTACTGGCTCTATCTTTGTGCCTAGTTACTGAAAATGCCTTAGGTGTCAGAGTGATGCCCAAGAGGAAAAAAGGTAAACCATAATATTTTATTGTAGCATTACCAGAATTAAGTAAAATTTCAAAGCTGATAATTTGTAGTTTCAATAACAGATATTAATTTTGCGTAATAACAAAGCTGAGGAAATAATTGTTGGAAACTTGTTGCAATCATAATAATTGAAAAGTCATTTATGAACTGTAAGTTTCCTTATTAATACGCACCTAAGCAAAATAATGTGTACGTAAAATTATATAATATAATTTCATATCATTCTTTGTGTTTACAAAGAATGATATGAAATTATATTATGAAAAACAAAAAAAAATCCGTGATTGTAGCTAATGATTAAAGTTAGATATTCAATTAACAAGAATGATATTAAAAAACTACTTCATACTTTCATATTACTTACTTACTTACATTCATATATTACTCTACTTTTATTTTTACCATATATTATTTTTATTTCATTTTAACAAACTATCCTTCCTCCAACCTAGTTCGCATTTTTATCTGTTCACACATAACAAGAATTGAGTACAATAACACACTAAACAACATCCCGTCTAACGACTTCTAACTTTTATACTATTTACGTTATACTCTTTTCATTTCTTCTTTCTTTCTTTCTTACCAAATTGAGCGTAACCACAGAATGCATGAAAAAATTAGAGTCAAATAAAAATAAACTTCAAGAAAATGACCTACAATTGAAACAAATCATCACGTAATAGAAACTTTTGAACAAAGTTGCAATTTGTATGCTAATAGAGTCGAGCAAATGTGCATTCAGGTTGAACACAAAATGTTTGGTCACAAAATGTTATCAATCGTAGTGGCACACTTGACGGTGAAACGTTAATTGAATTGAAAAAAGCAATAAAATAATTAGACCGTACATATTTGTGGAACAAGCGAGCTTACGAAAACGAAATTTATTCTACTTACGATTAGTAACAGATGAACAAAAACTTTATATTAAAGTAAATAGAAAAATAGTATCATTATTTAAAGTACACATACAAAGATAAATAGTGTAATGTAGGTGTACAGTCATGAAAAACGCATAAAAATTACAAATATAAATGCTTATGAAGTAATTTCATATGTAAATTAGATAATTGTCATATACTATATACATAAATCCGTGTGTCATGCTTTAGATATTTTCTCGGTACTTACAATTAGAAAAAATTCATTATTGAGCGTAGCAGACCTGCAAGCTTGCTCTGCAATATCCATAAAAGGCACATTTTCAAGTAGTTTTCGTGCCTCCCCTCATTAGGAGCTGCGCAGGAGTAACTGTGGCAAGGTTATGTGGAATGTGGTAACGTTCGATTTCTCAAGACTGGGTCAGAATTCTCGTACATCCTGCGGACCGATATTTAATAGGGGCCCTATTATAGTGTCATTCCTAATATTACTTAGTAAGTTAATAAACGGTCCTAGTTTATACTATAGTGTAAATGAAATTGTTTAATAGTTTCATTGTAAACTCAATAAGAAACAATTTTTTTCGCGATTGATGAGTCATTGCTCTACGACTGATACGGCATAATTTATTCGAAACATAAATTCTAATGCACCATCCAAGAAAATTTCTTAATTTTCTTTTTTTAATTTTCGAATCAGTAACACATACATTGACTTGCCAAATTTATGCTCTTGACACGATATATTATATACTGACAACATTAATAATGTTGTAATATTATAAAACTTGGTTACACTACACCGTGGTTCTTACCACTTAAATTTGACAAGTCAATGTATGTGTTACTGATTCGATGACGATAAACAATAATGAAAAATTCTTAAACCACAATTTCCGTTTAAGTAACATCTTGAACGATGCTGTAAAAAAAGTAATATTGCCCTTCTTATCATAACTAGCTTAATCGACATTTTTAGCTAAATTAATTTATTAATATTATGTGGAGCGATTTTTTATAATCTCATTTAGTTCAGTTTTATTGTTAATCAAAATCAGCTCATAAAGTTTATAAAAGAAGAAACTTTAGGTGTAATTATCTCTTCTTTTACCAAAGTGGAAATGAATTAGTTATGACGAGAAGAACAGAATATTACCCATTTTACTATATCTTATTCGTGAAAATACATTTGACCGAAAAGCAAAAAACTGGATAGATGAACCATGTTCATCTCCTATCAGTAATCGACAAACCGTTCAATTTAGATTTAAAAAAAAATCTGTTTTTCAAAATAATCGAAGTCTTCGGGAATATGGATAATTTTTAACTATGCGACCAACATCCGGACTCTAATCAAATAACGATCACTTAAAAAAAAAGTGATGCCGTACCATTGATTCAGCGAGAGTCGTCCGACCGGTCGTCGGGGTATCGCTAACTAGTAGCGTGGCCGTTGCGACGTTTTCCAGATGATTAGAGTAATTGCAAATTCGCCAAAGCGAGAAATTGCTTTGCACTTTTGATCTTACCAACAATAATTTCTATGGAACTGTAATTATCATCATGAATTTGGTTCTTTTTCTTGTAGATTAATTATTAAAATATCAAAGACACACGTCAGGCTTCGAAGCGGTGGAGCTCAGAGCAAATTTATGCAGTATGTATGAAAATCGCAAGCAGATACGACCCAACGATTTTCAGTCAGTTTCAAATCAACGTAAGAATATTGTGCAGCCACCATTCGCGATGTAAAAAAGCGAAATCGTTTCTATACTACCTAAACTTAAACGTACATGTAATAACAATGACATATTATAATGAATTTACACTATAAATCTCAATATCTGCTTCTATTCTTGTTATACCATCTTAACAATCTTGTAATTATCATATATAGATTCGGATTGATTGTGCTTTAAAGTTTTAATAACCTAATTTCGTTTAATATATCACAAAAGAACCTTGTTTTGTATCGCTTAGTTCGTTGTGTTATATTTAAAAAAGAATCTACCACCGCTGAAGACAAAATATTGTGAATACCTACTGAATGAAGCCTGAAAACAAAAAACTGCTGAGACTTTTATCGTTTCTTCAATAGACTTTTACTCAATTGTTTTAAGTTTTTAATTGTCGTCATATTACCTGGTACAATATTCTTATTCATTTTATTTACTTCAATAACTTTTTGACATATTAGTCATATGACGAGGTATAAGGTTTATAGAAATTAACACTTATGTGGTATAAATTTCTGAAAATTCACGTACGGATTTTGATTCGTATTCTATACTGTGACATAATATGGAAGAATTCAACGTACTTAATCCCGTTGCCGAGTTCGAAAAATGTTAGCTACTTTTCAAAATACCTATCGCGTTCAAAATAAGAAATGTGTATGTATATATATATATATATATATATATATATATGGCTTGTAATAATGTGCATTATAATACAGAAGAGATCTTAAGAAGTAGTCTCTCTGTAGTTGTGCAGACGTTATTTGTTTACTGAAGACTTCTCAATATTGTAAGCACGTAACCATAATATCTCTAAACGCACGTTAAGACGTTTATTGCCATTTTAATGGTTTAGGAAACACCGGCTAACAGGCTTTCTGTTTTCTTACAGTTTCACTTGCATAGATTTACAGTTATGCAACACTTACTTTTAGCTATTTTATAATAGGATACGTTATATTATCTGTTGACAGCATCAGGAAATCGGAGTCTCCATAAAAAGTATATAAGCTACTGTTATCAAAAGATGGTTACATTTTAATCTTAATTATCTAGCAAACCGAGTAGAGTTTGTAGGTCTTCGCGATTTTTACACATAGAATATGAAACTATAGTTTTCGGTTTTAAATCGCTTATATTGGTTTGCTTATACGGTCGGGCCGTTTACAGGTCTCATGGTCACAGCTGGCTGATTGTTAAGAACCCGAAACGTTAAAAGTAATGTTCTTCAAACAAACGTTTGAAGAAACAACAAATACAAATGCATTACACGTGATGTAAATCTGAAAAAAAAAGAAACAAAGCGAATATTTAGTTTTCGTCAGTTCAATTGCTCATACAATTTTGAATTTAAAAAAAGAATTGCAAGCAGTGTGTACTTAATTCGTCATTAGCGAAACTTAGAATCGGTTTAAAGTCGGTACGCCATGGGTTGCGAGTTTGCTTCTAACACAACACTTGATATAAGTTTAATTTATGCAATCTAGTTTTTGTGGCTTCCGATCCAGTGCTGATTAATTAGCAGATTAAGTGAATTCTTTAAATGGACGCAAGAAAGTCTATGTATGTATGTGAATGGGATAAAAACACGCTCGATTTCTAAAGTTAGCAATTAGTAGATAGTTAACAGGTGTACGAATACAGGGCTCTACGTAGTAAGGTGCAAATTTTGCCTTTGAATAGTTGAAATAGCTAGTACAGTACTATACCTGAATCCAATCTTCGGAAGCTTCGGGGCAATTCAACTTTTACGGAAACTATTGACATTATAATTATCTGGCTTATCAGTTTACAACTCTTCATCATCACAATCAGTCCATTCATACGTTCCACTGCTTGGAACGGGTCTCCTCTCGGCTTAGAGTTTAGGCCATAGTACGAGTACGCCCTGGTACACCACACTGGCCTTATGCAGGTTAGGGACTTCACACGTTTTCCGAGTGTTGTGAACCTTCTTCGACGTGCAGGTTTCCTTACGTTTTCCTTCACTAAAAAGCTCATGGTAAATTTCAAATTCAACACATCAATTCCGAAAAACTCAAAGGTGCGAGCTCGGATTCAAACCCACGGCTTCTGCTTGAGAGGCTACAAGTCAAACCACTAGTCTATCATGGCTTACAGTTTACTATTACTACGAATATTAACGTGATATCTATCACGTTAATATTCGAAACAAACATTTATGAGGGAGATAATGGCGGAGGCCGAGCATTACAAAACACGGTGGAGCTTCTGTACGTACCATACCGAATTCGCAAGTAACCGGTCCTCGATTCTCTGAACACCTACCCGCAAATATGAAGTGTTACAAACACCTAAATATTTCATAAACAACTGAAACTCCTATTATTGGATAATTA